GCTATAAACCATGTGGCACTGCCTAAGATTTTATCTTTAATGGCCTTTTAATATAGCATGCATTACTTTCACTTTTATACTTTAAGTAGTTTTAAAACAAGTACCTTTATTCTTTTACTTGAGAAAAAAGCTTGAGTTGATACTTCTACTTCCAAAAAAGTATTTTTAAACCCTAGTATCTACACTTCTACTTAAGTAATGAATGTGAATACTTTTGACACCTCTGGTGAATTCCAATCGGGGGATGCAGAGAGCACAGGGAGGTGGTGCAATAACCTTGGCTGTGTCTCAATTCATGGGTTGCAGCCACTGTAGACCGTGGCCGACGTTGACCACAGTCTATGTGGGCCGTTGTCCGCTCCTGTCAGCTGCATAAACGCCTGCAAAATTTGACGATCTTAGTCTACAGAAGTTTGCTTGCCTGACCTCGTTAGGTATAAAGTATAGCCTCATAAAATTCAGTTTTTTTAGAAAAATGGTACAAGTAAATAAATGAAAAGTGTGATTAAGTTTGGTTTATCTCCAGTATAACCACTTATAACAGCTTTTTATTTAACATCTCATTGCAACAAAACTTTCTTCAGCTAACCTTACATTTTMTTGGTCATTGATGAATTTTCAAACTCCGTCATTATAAAAAAGTATAAAAATTTCCTGTAAAATTTAAATAAAACCTTCGCCATATTTGTTTTTCGGCTTAATTTGTCGATGGCGTGATGAAGTCTGGGATTCCATAGACCACGTAGAATGCTCAGATGCAGCCGTCATTTTCAGGGTTTTGTTGGCCGCATGAGTAGATGTCCCAGAACTGGGACAGCCTACGGTGCGGTGCAGTGATGTAAGTAGTCGACAAATGTGGCCGACGTCGGCTGCGACCCATGAATTGAGACACAGCCGTAGYTTGTGAAAACAGCCATGAAAACTGTGTAATTCTCACAATGGTCTTATAGTTGCTGTTTCTGTTGTACCATTTTATCCTTTTCCAAACAAAAGTTTGTAACTATTCACTTCATTCTTTTATTTTGGTAAAGAGATTCAGGATTCAGGATTTGTTTATTGTCATTAGCAGGTTAACAAGAGTCAACAATGCAATGAAATTCTTAGGATGAGAAGAAACCCTTCGACTCGCTATAAAGAATAAAAATAAAAATTAAAGACAATACAGAATACAAAATTCAGTTTGCAGTAGACGCACAAAGAGTAAAAAAAAACAAAAACTTAGGGTAATACATACAGTGTAAAGCGAAAATATCGAACAGCAAATAATAACTAAATAGCAAAGAAAACACAACAAAATTTGGGCAACAGAAATAACAGAACAGTGCAGGCAGGGTGCACAACATATYTGACACTTCACCGATGATAGTAGTGGTTATGATTAGGGGTGTAAGAAAATATTGATACACTGAAATATCGCAATACTTCATTTCCTGATACTGTATCGATATTCTAAAGCTCTGTATCGATTTTAATTGATATTCTAAAGCTCTGTATCGATTCTTAATTAAGGTCTAAAATGTCGATTTTCCTGCCAATGCTTCATTTTTATGTTGTAGTTCAGCCTCTGACCACTAGTTGGCAGCAGTGAGCCAGCCATGTGGATCCTCCACCTCTTGAGAGCCAGATAGTAAGAGAGCATTAGCCTTGTGAGTAAACATTAGCTCCATGCTCCAATAGCTGAATCCAA